TCATCTAACCTATATTCAGATTTTTCCTTTTGGTAAGAAGGCTTTCTGCTGTACTTCACGTACAGCTTCTCCTTCACGTTCTTCAGTGGAACATAGGGCTTCAAGCTAGTGGATTGAAGTTTCTGTAGCAGTGTTCATTTAACAGGATAGGGTTGCTAGCCTCATGCCCAACCTTTATTCTTTACCAGCATTATTTCTGGCCCAGAGAGGTAAAGGAGTGCGTCGGCAGGGAATCGAACCCCGGACCATGTGCATGGTCGGCGAGCGTCCTAACCAGTATACCACCGACGCCCTTACTGCAAGTAGGATCAAATAAAATTGGAGGTAGCTTGAGAAACTCTCAAATCCAGATTTAGTTTTGCGAAAAGAAATAGAATCTCAGACCATGTGACGAAAAACGGTTATTCGGAGTTTCAGAACAACCTAGAAGGGTTGTGTTTAGACACATCAGTTATGCAAGTCGTGCCATCGATTCTAAATAAGCTTTCCAAGCAATAAATAGACCGTGTGCAGACGCCGCAGATGAACAAAATCTAAGTTGAGAGTGCAGAATAAATTTGTGGTTCACCTTCTGCTGACTTGGTAACTTATAATTCTTCATTTATCGTTCTGTCATTCGTTATTAGTTTTATTATTCCTGAACACTGTTTGCCTTTCCAACATTTTTCGCTGCCCATTACATCTAGTTTATCGTGGTTGTGTTTCTTAGCAAATTATGGTTTTATCATTATTGTGCGCTCCGACGATAGCATATATCATACATACATACATTAGCTTTTCTCTCCTATCACCGTTATACTGAATTGCCATTTCATTTTGGTCAAGTATACATTACGATTTATCATCTCAGTAACAATTTATTCTTTAACTTCATTGACTGATTACGTCAGAAACTGTCATTTCTGTTCCCATAAATATTTTCTATGGATCTGATAAGACTTATGTTATATCAATCTTATCATTGAACTGCATTAGGTTCTGTACATTTAGCAATGACATCTCAAACTATCAAACTGTACACAAACCTTAGTACTTTGAGGGATTCTTGTATTTAGTTTCCTATGTCCACAAGTTCCCTTCACATAGTGGTAAATATAATCAGCTAACTGATAAGTGCGCTCCTGCATTGTCAGCTGCACTTATGCAAGAGATACGTAGATGGTACGTTCATGATTTGTGGTCAAAAATCTGATTTAGATTCCCTCCTCAAAACCTTCAACGCAGCGCATCCGTCAATAAGATTCAGCATAGAACGCGAATCGAACAACGCATTTCGATTCTTCGATGTACTACTCACCAAAAGACACGACTGTACGATCTAAAGGTCGATATACCGCAAGCCAACATAGATTGGACAGTTTATCAACCTCCAGAGCTTTGTCTCACTGATCCGAAAGAGAAACCTGGTACGTACATTGTTATCAAGAATTAGAAAAATCTGTTCGGAAGTCATGTTTGAGAAAGAATTAAATTTATTACGTGAAACCCTAGGAGACAACGGATATCCACCAAGATTTATCGACAAAAACATGAAGGAGAAGCCTCCGATGTCAGACATCGCGACGGTTATTAGGAAGACTCTCTTCATGAAGCTAGAATTCAAAGGTGACATCGCAGTGGAAATTCTCAGAAACTGCCATTCTAAATGTTTGGAGAAGACATTTCTAACAGCTACTTTACTTATCACACTCTCCAGCAGACAGTTAATCCAGTCTAACGTTAAGGATAAGATACCGCTTTCGGCCACTTCATTGTGTATTTATCAATTTACTTGCTCCTGTGGAGCAAAGTATATTGGTAGTACGCAACGTCAAGTCCACAGTCGTATTCTGGAAAACGGTTCAACTTGGTTAGCCAGAGGAGAAAAGAAGAATAGCAGCAGCTCTAACATCGAACACCTTGTCATCTCCGGACACCAAGCATCCCCCCATGAATGCTTCATAGTGTTGCACAGAGTCCCTCAATATCGTACAAAGGGACTTCGCACACGCCATCTGTACATAGCTGAAGCATTAGCTATTCGAGATCTGAGACCGAACCTCTGAATTCAAAGCGATACATACATTCTCTCGCCCTACTGTGGCTAGAGTAAAGTTCTTACAAAAATCTTGCTTCTTCTTTATTTATTACGTAAGTTTATTATCGTTATTACTATTTTATTACCAATATTATTCCCATCATCCATATTTTATTACCACCACTCTAATACTGTTTATTAATTGCATTGCTTTTTCATACGGACTTTTTTATAAAAACGCCTTATCACTTTTCTACTGATATCCATTCTACATGAGCTTATTGATTAGTCATTGTCTCACACTTATTACGTCATGCCAATTCCTGCCTCTTTTCTAACTTACAATTAGTCATCCTTTCTTACATCTAAGATTATATAATACATTTTTCGAGGACAAAGTTTACCAGTATCTGATTGGTCTAATGATTTCATCGTTAAATTTAATTACGATTGTACGAAAATGTAGGAACAGAAAATTTTCTTCGTTGTTTACGCCTGTTTTTAAATGTTCCTGTATCTCATAATAATTCGGTAGCGTTTATTTTACAGTTAATATGTATATATATTTTACATTCTTATCCATGATTCTGTGTCAGCTGTCTTTTTTCTTTTCGCCTCTTTTAAAATCAGCCGCAGTCTTCAAACAAATAGTCTTATACTTTGTCTACTGCTGCGTTATTCACGTGCACGCATTGCATAAGTAGTCTGCATATCCACCTTTCACTGTGCGATAATGATTATGTTTGTATCCTTTAAAGATTCGTTCAATGATATCGTGAAACAGAAGAATTGAATTATTAGAGCTAATGACTGAAAAAATAATTCGACTCTGGGTAAATTTTGTTTTGATAATGTCTTACAGTGTTATACAGTAATGATTACTGAAAAAATAACCCATGGATTTTACTACCTGTATAAACTTAGTATCATAATCTTCCTGTTCTAGAAAATATTTTGTACTCTACAGTTGTACGGTTGACAAATTAACTTCTTACTCTAGTTTATTTTAAGGTAGTAGAGGTGATTTTTTGAATTAGTATATCACTACATGGTATGATGAAACTAACAAGTATACAACATGCACACTGAGGCGAAAGAACAGGCAAACATCATACACAGTCTGAAAATGTGTGACTTAAAGTCAGTTGGTAGGATGGCACTTCAAACATATAAAGGAATAGTCAGTTAGCACATTTGTGACAAAATAAATGAATTGTGAATAGCAACTGTTGGTTCCATGTTTAAAAAAAGTAAATCATCGAATAGCTTTAGGTTATAAAGTGTTATCCCGAATAGAAAAGAATCAGTGCCTGATAATTTGGGAAAGAATACAAGGCATTACTAAATTGTCGTAAAACTTCTTACTATCTTTTGTCGTACTCATCCATAATAACAGACAGTAATCGTCAAGTGTCATACCTACAGTGACTGCTGTGAATGCTGAAAGCTTAGGCTAGCTTCATCACAGTATGCCAGAAATTAATATAGAATTGGTAAACCAGAGGAAATGGAAATTTGGATGAATCACGAATAGCCAAATACATGTCGGTATATACACAATGGTCCATAGGAGTTATTAAGAAGACAACTGCAGCGAAGAAAATTTTCTTTTCGGCGAAGTCATCATCTAGACTGTACATTCATGTATTTATATCAGATGGATGGGAAAGTTTCAGAATAATTTCCCGTTAAGAGTCAAATTAATAAAAATTAAAATTAGGAATTAGAATGCCATAATAAACAGGAGGATGGACACAACAAACAACTTAGCAGCACGATAGCTAAGAAGATTGACATTGTGCAATTAGGGGTTAGAAATGTAGAAATAACAAAATAGACAGGATGTTGGGATAAATAAACTAATGTGATGAATAATTGTTCATGCAATCAAGGATTAAATATGTAGAAATAGTAAAATGACAAAATAAACACGAAGTTCGGGTATGAGAATATGGTGGCGTAAACAGAGATTGAGAAAAAATAATATGAATAAGCAGGAAGTTTAGATGAGAAAGGCGATTGGATGGTCATTACTAAAAAAACAATTTCCCTGTTTATGATGGCCATGGAAGAGACAGGGGTTGAACGTATTTCTTTGGGATGCCAAGCGTGGGTTTGAGCTTTTGAACCCTTAACTGGAAATTATTCTGGAACTTTCCCATCCATTAGATATAATTACACGAATGCACAGCCTAGATGATGACTTCGTCGAAAAGAAAATTTTCTTCCTGAATGTAACACTTTAATACATTTTACATGACCATTTCACATAGTTCTCATGCTTCATTCTATTACTCTTCTTTGAATCCTCTGTTCTGTTAATTTGCTGACACCTGAATCTTCTGTGACCTGCCGTGTTTACTTTCATTCATCATGAACTGATACATGATTCCAGAATTTTTGCATTTCAGAAAAATATTGTAGGCAATGTTAATTATGTGAAAGTAGATATGACAGAAATATAAAACACTTTCAAGGCTAAAATCCTGCGTTCATTTGGCCTATTCTAAGATGCTTAGAAATTCCTGTTAAAACTTAAACATGAATTTTTCCAACATTTGACAAATACATACTGACGAAAGATTAAGTATCAAAATAAAATAGATACAACTTCAGGTACAGTCTTTATAAATAAGATCAGTTTAAACAAAATCACTGGAAAATGGATAAATAAAAATCCACCCTCTCGTATTGCTCAAGAATAATTATATTTATGAATGGAAAGTTTGAATTGAAAGCTTTTATTCTCTTAAAAAAACAGCTTTAAAGAAAAGGCCGAAACGCCGTACATGAAGCTTTGAATTGGTTAATAGAAGGTTATTCAACCGGACGAAGCTAGTGCTTACTGCAATGCTAACTGCAGACATCACGAGGTGTACATATATATATGAAACATAATTTACATACACAGAAGAAAGACACTAAAAAGTACATTATTCAGTCACGACTGAACTGTGAATAAGATATTCTACATTCCGTTTCCATGACAACAGTTTCATAAACAGTAAACGCCCATTTTTAATGATGTTCTGTACGGAAGTGATTAACATGTAGAAAACACCTGTAATAGATATTGTAGTTTCACATCATATCAGTTACCAGATGAAACTTGTTGGGATAATTAATATTTTTTAAATAATAACTGACAACTTCGGAATTAAGCTGCTGTGGGTTAAAACGATGCAAAGTACTTATGTATATGATAATTCTAAACACGCTTCCCATAAACAGTTCAAAGGCACACTACCACTCCACTGCGCAATGTTGAATTCACGTAAAAGAAATCGCAATAGTAAAGTGATACCTTGTAGTCAATAGCACACCATTACACAACAGTTAGGTGGAGCATTAAGAACTACAATCAACAAAAATCAAAGACAAATTATAACGATTAAGTCAAAAGAAGACATATAAATGGTTAGAATGATGATACGCAGGACATTGGTAAGGGGTATCGTATACAGAATCAGCTGAAATATTCAAATATCAGTTCACCGGATAGATTGTTCAGGACAGGCTTTGAGATCAATTATTGCGCTACACGAATATCCTCTTAACATATACAGGACCAGCGCTTTGAAATTATTGTTTCATGATTTACTCGTCACGTTGTGCAGATATAGTAAAATTTGGTATCATAAATAACTAACTATTATATACGGGGTGATAATTGTGACGAATTATTTGCAGCTGAAGTACCCGTTATCTTGAGATGATAGAGTTTGAATAAACGATTGTTCTTAGAATAAGTGAGTCATAGAAATGCCATTAGCAATAATTAGCTTCAGTTCATGTTTTTCCCTGTGTACTTTTCATGTTGAACAGAAAGGAAACTACTACCGAAATTTCCACAGGTAAAATTGAAAACTCCTGTCATGAATAAACTTCGGAATTATTCTGAGTCGTTCACAGGCAAGTATATATATATATATATATAATACACCGATTGCTTCCAACAAAAAGTAATCTCTTTCAGCTGACAAAAAATGGATTATCACCTAAGAACCAATACATAATTTTACTGTGAGTATATGATTGGAAATCATTTACATTAAGGATATGGAGACCAATGGTTCCATTCGCGTAGTGAATACGTTCTGCATAACCTTTAGTTATTAACCCATATCCGGAGTGTCATAGGTCTGTCAATCTCAGAAGGCGTCAGTGATTGTTTTATGAGCTGATAATTGAATAAGCTGTTACTTCCAGCAAGTATTATTCATATAAAATCACAAAACCTTCTGTTTTATATGTCTTGGTGTGAAAGGATTCACAACTGCAGTTTTCATAGTAAGTCAAGAACTCTATTACATGTATGATTATAATTTCTTTGGGTTCTTAGTGGAACATAGGGCTTCAACAACACATCTCCACTTTCTTCTATTTCCGTTTGTCCTCTTCACATGGGTTCATTATTGCCTATAACCTCTCATATCCTCCTCGCACGATCTCCTTATTGTCACTCTCGAACGACACACTAAAGCGCCTGGTGAGTGATGTCATTCGACAATCTGCACAGCGTATGCCCTATTCATCTCCGTTTTCTTTTTCATGTTTGTTGAACGATCATTTCTTGATGAGTTTCTTGCTGCTAATTCTTTCCGGCAATTTGATCTTCAAAGTAGAGCTAAGGCAGATTTTGATAAAAGTCTGCAGTGGTCCGTTTGAAATGCTTTTCGTTCAGCGCTTATCAAGGTTCTGACCCATGGAAAAGAACTGACTAACTTCACATCTGTGTTGAAAGTCTGATTCTTGTTCTTTTTGCTGAGTGAGAACAGATTTAAAAACCGATTTGAGATTGGTGAAGGTGTCTCTTGCCTTGACATTCTCATCCCTTCCGCCTGTGGTTGAAACGATGCTTCCTAGATAAGTGAAGGAATTTACCTAATTCTCTATGTTCACCTGAGGTCTTGACTTCGATGCCTGCTTCTTCAGCCACTTTGTTGGTTTTCGCCTGCAAGTCTTCAGTTTTGTTTGATATTATGCACAAATCATCCACGCGACAAATCCAGATCTCCTAGAGACTTCTTATCGATCAGTCCAGCGTATTCCCGTCTCCCAACTCCAAACGCACAGTCTGATGCAAATTCCAGTCCACCATAATTAAGAATATCATCGGTGATGATAGACAGTTTTGTCTTACTCCTGTATTCACTTCAAACCGTTCGCTGGGGCTTCTGTTGTGGATCACGTGACACGTGATATTGTCGTATGGTCAGCCATTGAATGAGGTTAATAAAGATTTGAGCACCGCACACCATACCGTTGAAGTGGTTTTGAAATTACCCCCCAGTCAAAGCTGTCTGTCAAATGCCTTTTCCAAGTCGATGATGTTGAGGTGGAGAGAGGCTTGACTGACATTCCACTCTCTGTTCGATAATGATGCATAGAGCTGCAATTTGATCAGCACATGATTTGCCTTTTCTAAATCCAGTCAGCTTTTTACATTTGGCGGAGTTCGGCATCCAGTGCATCCTTTGTTCTCTCCAGGATGACGCTACCTCATCTAGTTTACTACCTCATTAAGTTTCTAACCAGTCATACGCTCGTGAAAAGAAAAAGGTTTTGATGTGGGGCTAGCGACAAGTCCCGGAAACGCATTCAAATCACTACAAAAACTACAACGCACAAAATATTAATAGAAACACACAATTCCCTTACTTAGTGATGCGATACTACACCTCACTGCCGCATAAACCAGAAAGCTCTAAAAAGTATCAAGAAGTCTAGAACATTTGCAATTTGAGCTACAAGTTATAAATTTCTACGCCACCTGGAAATGTACAAGTGATGTAAAACATTTAGAGAAACATTCCATCTTCTAGATGGTTGAGTGCCAACGACGCACACCTCAAAAGCTAAGTTCTCGACGACACCATTAATTTTTTGATCCCGTGAGAAATTTCTTGAATCACGTTGTCCTAGGTTCTCTTTCATGTCCATACTCGTTGTTCATGTTTTTTGAAATTAGCTGACATTCTATCCAAATTTCTGCTTGTTCAATATTCACTCACCAATTAATTTTAACATATCACAGTTTAAACCGATGTCACTGATGAACTGAAAGGTAGTCTAAGAGATGAATGTTTACAATAAGACCCTTACTCACAGTTTCATTGTTGAAAACTACAAATTCATGTTCAGGTTTGTCTATAGGAAACTTGTCCAAGAGAACACAGGCAACAGTGCAGCAGTGAATTTTATTTTGTGATAGTTTACAAATGACTGTACAATATCATTGAATTTGTTGATCATTCATCATACATTTGGAACAGCCAAGTGAATAGTCACTAAAACTATTCAAAATACGTGTATGCGACATAAAAGGGAGTATTTCACATCGTTCATCGTTATTTGAGGACTCCAATGACATTTGACCATATTCTGTGTTAGGACGATCCGAGAAACTTCTGACATCATAGGAATTGGAATTTGAACAAAGAGTTTGGTTGACGACCTCATGATAAGTTGGTGGAAGTGATTGTTTTTCTGCATTATTCGCTGGTACTTTGTTTGATGATTTAACAGGGGAATAAGACTGATCAGTGTTTGTTGTTTTGTATTTTCTAAAGTCATCTGTTGATAGATTGGACTTCAAAGTGGGATAGCAAGTCGTGGAATAACATTCTCTTAGAGGTGAATTAATTACATGTCCATTTAGCTGCTCTGGATCATAGAAAGCATGTGGGTGAAGTAGTTCTCGAAGATGAAGGAGCACGAAGTCGTCATCTGGCAATTCACGGAGAAGCTTTGAGGCTGCTTCTTGACTCCAGCTAGTGACAACCTGATTATTTACACAAACCAACTCATCGCCTTCTTTGATGCCTGCCTTGGATGCTGCTGAGTTGGGGAGAACGACATCCACATACAGTCCCTGTATAGAGTGAAGGAGGTAAAAATAAAGAAATGTATGGTTGTAATATTACCAAGGCACTTTCATTTATATCAATAAGGCATTTTTGATTTGCTTTTAAGTATAATAATAGAACATATGGAGCAAGCTGTGGTTTGTCACTGAAGTTCTGGAGGACATTAAAGTGGGATTCACAAGTGTTCCTGAATTACGAATATTCAGTAAATTATACTTAACTGTGTGAGTTAAGTCTAGGCTTTAATCTGCAATGGGGAGAATAGTGTTTCCATTGCTATTTGTCCCAGTTTTTACTACATCGTTTATTTGGAACTAAAAAATGTGCACTTTCCGTTATTACACTTACAAAACGGTTAGTAATTCCAGAGACGTATAAAGCAGAATTGACGAGTAACCAACTATCAGTGTCGCCATACAATATAAAACCAAATGTCAGTGTTGACGGTGAAAAGTGGTTTGGTCAGAGTGTGCATCAGACGAATACACTTGCCATTCCACCGTAGTGGATGAAAAAACTTATTTGGTTGGTGAGAGGTGTCTGTATTTAGTAAAAATGTGTAAAAAATTATCCACCAGAAGTTTGCTGATACAGTCATACCACACCAGTAACACATTTCAAATTTCTGTCAATTTCAGCTCCCTAGGTGAACTGAATAGAAGTTAGATATTAATGAAATGACATATGTGCTATGATAAGTAAATAAATAAACTGTTGCATGATAAGAATGAGTATGAACAGATGAATGGCTGTCGACTGATCAAGATTCTGCATCATGAATCTATGTTAAATGCAGTTCACTTGGCGGGTTTAGAAGCATGATCAGTGTGGTAAATTAACTCCATTTGGATGTTGCTGTTCCCACTGTACTGAATGGTTTAACTACCAAGCTTTCATGTCTTTCTAGTGAACATATTCAGCCCTACATCAGCATAATTTAATTCTACTGTAATTGTTTAAATCCCACTGTTCAACCACAAACCATTGAACTGTTTTATGATGATTGTGTTTTCCTAAATTTCAAGGTTAGATTTCACACTTACATTATAGATACTTTCTGCGATGAGAAGCCAACTGGTGATCTTGTTTCTTGGTTGTTTCGAAATTTCCTCTCATAATTCAACCTAATGGTTGGCCTCTTGGAAAGTGGTGGCCAGCTGATGCGATTACTTTGCTAACTTCAATCACGTCAACCACCATCTCATCCTTTCAGTAAAACATTTGATGTTTGAGATAACATTCAGTCACTGAGAACAAGTGTATCACTTTAATTTTCAGCTCCACCGTCAGATGATTGTCGTCAGTTCTCAATTAAATTACATTACATTCTACACTTATCAGATTCATTCAGCGAGTGGTGTGTGACACTGATCAATCCCGTTTTCCATCTCATCGAAATCAAATGCACCACTTAGTTTCCAAGCATATGACTTTCACATCTTTTGGTGCAGGTTATCATTATCATTGTCTTCGGTCAAACGTTTTAGACGAAGTTTCTGCACAATTATGAACAGTCTCGTCACAGTCAATAATTTTAAGTTATAAAATGACAATCCTATTTTACCAAAAAAATACCACAATGTGAGTTCAAGTTGTAAATAAAACGGATAAACTAAACAAATGTGGTCTTCGACTGAAGTGATTTAACAAGAAGTACATTGTTTGGCAAGATTGAAAGGATTCAATCGACCAATATATGCGAAGTGTTTTTAGTGTAATTAAAATACGCCAGGATTTCGGTGTATTATGCTTTTGTAAGTGAATACAAAGGAAGATTATGTGAAAATTAGGACTGAATTTTCTAAATGAATTAATTATAGCATGACCAGTACTCGACTATGTCAAATGGATTAACTTAGATCAATAAAGTATTAATTTCACTGACAAGTATATGGAAATGAACATTATGAGAAGTTATGCACACCATTCACTTGATTTGTTTAATCACTCATACTCTCCGATGATTCACTGTCCTACTAACCAAATATTTGAAATAGCTTGTATCTGTATTTCTAAATGCCAATCAAAGGTTACAGTATTAGTCACTGAAGCTCGGACAGATCAGGAATTCGCTATCACTTGGATTCATGCTGATTCATAAAACAGCTTATTAACTGAAAGAAGATTGCACCAGCCATACAACTTTTGCTAATCACCAAAGGATATTTTCACTTTCAGCAGTACTGACTAAATGTTGTTGATAACAATTAAGTGAAACTGTAATTAAATCAGAGAATGGGGTCATATTTTATGAGGAGGATTGGTTCTTTTGTCAAATAACTGGAAACTTATATTTGTAACTGCAGATCTATAGTGTCATCCTACATTTGATGTTAAAACTTTGAATATGCAATGAAAAGCGGTATACCTTCCAGTACATTCGTCTTAGAGAGAGAATTACTGGTGTGTTATTGAATCCTGTGATATTACGAGATCGACCACTAGTTCCTGTATTACGCTATGGATGAATGTCCTATGGGATTCACAAACTGAGAACTATTTATATCTCTCTCCTTCCAAGTGTTTATTATCTCTGCCGGGTGAATTCCCACATATGTGGTGACAGGAAGTTATAAATAAACAGAGCAAATAGTAAGGAACAGTTACTGCCTCTGTTTACTTAGCGAAAATTTATGTAATTGTTTACACAAGTTCATTTTCACCAGAACTGTTGGTAGGTCTGCTTTTGAGAAATGTTACCGATATAGAGGAGTAACTTGAGACATCTGTTATAATTTAAAATATTTCATATGAGTTGAATAATGTAAACTAACGAGAGGACGTTGTGAGTAGGTATCTCTTAGCATTACTAAACTAGCATACATAACTTCATAAAACGTCTTATCAATAGATGTGCGAGCTGGAAAGGATGTATGCATACGTAGCCTTCATTGTTAGTGAAAAACAAAACAAGTAGTAAAGTAAAGGCATTTTTTGGGGATTTATTTATATACGACAGAGCGAAAATGGAATGCACTAATATTCCTCACCACTCGCGTTTGATGTGTTTGCAACCTTAATACCCCAGAAGAAGAAGAAGTAGACGTTCTGAGAGAAACATTCATTCAAAATGGATATCCGCTCAAATTTATTGATAGGAACATTGTACCAAATATTCAGAGACATGAGATATTGTTTGCGCGGAAGTGTGATTGATCTGAACCTTGGTCTCAGGGTGGCCTAACATGTGATGTCCTTTAGAGGGGAATTTCAACATACTTGGCGAGAATATTTCTCACAGCAACTCTAAGAGTGTTGCTCTCCTGTCGTACACTAGTCTGTTGAGGCATGAAAGACATAATCTTTCACTTGAGCAATTATGCGTGAGTATATGGGTTCACATGCTGCTTAACACGTTTGCTTTCCAAAGACATTAAAGAATACTGCTGAAAAATGGTATCAGAGGCTCCATAAGATGATCATTAATTCAAGACACCTTCAGCACTGATAATTCCATCTTAATTAATGCCTTCTTCACATTTATTTACAAAGCGAAGAGTAGTCTTCTAAAGACTATATTATTTCACCTTCCTTGCATTTTTGATGCTCTAGCCGTCCTCATCAGCTCACACATAAGAATTCTCCAAACAATTCTGCTATTACAGTCACCATGGTGTTCTTTTTTTAACCTATTTTTTAAAACTCTTTGTGATTCTTCTATTCCTTCTATCTCTCTCTCAAGAAATGTCTCATTTCCTCTGTTTCTATGTGCATTCCGATTCGGTGCCACTGGTTACATGATTTATATGAATACGTAAGTTTATGACCTTTATTCAACTTCTTTTTATGTATTGATTAATATTGGCAACTACACTTATGACAATGTGTCTCTTTTGCCTTTTATGAAAAAAAATGCACATAAAAAGGTAGGGTACACCTAAAGAAAGCAAAATCACCTAAAACAGTCTGTTCACCTCTGTTATTGTCAGAAATATTCGTGAACTGATAGTGCCAACTAGAATGACTCCAATACTGTTTTTTTCAAAGGGAAGCATAATTCCTGATGAATCTCCTTTCTATCTATTATTACTCACTTAACTCAAATTGATGATACCAAAATATCATAGACCCTTGAAAAGAAAGGCAACCAATTAACATGTTCATTTTCATAAATGATTACTTTCCAAATAGATATATATGGACAAAATATTTAGGCCTACATTTAAAAGGGAATACTGGCGCGGAATTATGCTCCTGTCAATTCCAAGCAAGATACTAAGCCGCATCATCCTGGAGAGAATCAAACAAGCCCTAGATGAAAAACTTCGTCCGGAACAGGCGGGATTCAGGAGAAACAAATCATGTATTGATCAAATCGCCACTCTACGGATCATCATTGAACAAAGCTTGGAATGGCAGTCACCTCTCCACCTCACTCAACTTCATCGACTTTGAAAAGGCCTTCGATAGTGCTGCATCGATCGAGTGGTCATTTGGCAGCTACTTCGCTACTACGGGGTCCCATTGACAATTATACATCTCATCCAACAGTTATACGACAATGCTGCATGCCAAGTAATCCACAACGGGAAACTTACGGAGGCCTTCGAAGTGAGGACGGGAGTGAGGCAAGGCTGTCTACTATCACCAATGATCTTCCTGATTGCAATTGATTGGATAATGCGACAAACAATGGGTTTCGATGAAGAAACAGGCATAAAATGGACTCACACAAAATACTTGGAGGATCTGGACTTCGCCGATGATATATGTTTGATTTCCCACAAACTGGAAGATATGCAAGTGAAAAGCAACAAGCTGGCAGAGGAAGCATCAAAGATAGAACTTCAAGTGGACATAGATATAACAGAGCTGATGAAGATTCCGGGCCAACACCAACAGTAACAACAACAGACAACAATCAGCCAGCATAAATGGGAGGAACCTGAAAGAAACAACCTCCTTTACCTACCCACCTACCGATCTGGGAAGCATCGTTTCAACTACAGACCGACAGAACTGACGAGGATATCAAAGCCAGAATTGGAAAAGCAAGACAAGCTTTCATTACTCTCAACGAGTCTGTGTGGAGGTCAACAGCCCCACTCAGCATCAAAAATAAGATCCAGATTTTCAACTCCAATGTGAAGTAAGTCAGTGCTACTTACTATGCGGATCAGAGACTTGGTGAGTCATAAAGAGCATCTCAAACAAACTTTAGAACCAACCAGGAACCGATTGTGAAACAAATAGGCATGAAGGAATGGAGATGGATTGGCCATACGCTGAGGAAACCATCAAGTGACATCACTAGACAAGCCATCGCTCGAGTGGAACCCGAAAAGGAAGCGGGCGGTGAGTTGGTCGTCAGTGTGAGGGTGACTTGGAGGAGGTCATGTGAAGAGGAGATGAAAGCATGCGGGCAGACTTGGAACGGAGTGAAAAAGTTGGCAGAAAACCGAAGGCAATGGAGACGTGTGGCTGAAGCCCTATGTTCCTCTAGGAATTAAAGAATATAATAATAATAATTGTCTTTCCCAAAAATATAAATTTAGGCGTATTCACCTGAGCCACTCGTTTTAATCGGATTCCAACTCGCCCATCTATTTTCTTCACAGATATATATCTGATTTTAGCTAGCACTGTCCTGTTAAGAAAATTGGAAAAATAATGTATCATGAGAAAAAGAGAAATCAGTTTTTCTTAACGTATTATATTACTTCTCTAATGGTATTTTAAATTACTTTTACTGAGAGTTAAAAGGTTTTTTAAAATCATCACGTGCTACTTTAATCTACGCAGGCCTATAAAAATAATCATAGATGACTTGTCTTATTGTCAGTTGCTTAAATGGTATATCCATTCAGTTTACTTTAGCAGAAAATTATTTCATCAACATTGAAGCATTAAGAGCCAGATGTTGATGAACCTGACAGATAACCGTCATTACTCTTTATTAGGTGCCACTGTTTCTTCAACAAATCTGTGTGTCAATAAAGAGTTTATTTATTTTTTTGACTACAGCCTGATTCCACACCGTATTTTTGGTACAAGTATGGAATTTTCAGCATGTGATATCGGCAGCCCAAATTTTGCGGGCCGACCATAGATATCAAGTGTGCGTCGGCAGGGGATCGAACCTCGGACCATGTGCATGGTCGGCGATGCCACCGACGCACATCGAATCATCGAAGTTTTCAGTTGTTTGTTTTTATTCCTTCACGTTCCTGGTGGAACATAGGGCTTCAAGTCAGAGGCTTGGAGTTTCTGTAGGAGGAGCAGCTTGCTAGCCTCATGCCCAACCTTTCCTCTTTATTTCTGACTTAGCGAGGTAAAGGAGTAAGTCGGCTTGGGATCAAACCCCGGACCACATGCCTGGTCAGCGAGCGTTCTAACCGTTGTGCCACAGACATCAGTGATGTGATATGATATGTTTAACTGGTCTTCGGTTATACGCATCTTTCTATTGTTTACAGATTTGCAAGAGTAATAACGTTTGTGGTCTGTTTTATAGTTATCAGTATTTTTTAAAAATTCCTCCGACAATCGCTATCTATGCTGCCATGAACATGGCCTTATGCGTAAACTTGGGATGTAGGGCTGAGACTGAGCTTAAGAAAAACTTGTTCACTAGTTATTTTGTTTACTTATTCTACTATTTAAAATTCATACATATTTTTGTTTTTAATAATTGGAGGCCTCAGGTGTTTATAAAACCTAAGTGAGAATAACCAGTGAACTCAAGTCACTCGGTTATGACTGTTGATCTTAGTCAACTCGAAACAATCATAGTACCTTCAAAATTAAACAATCATGTGAGAATTTTGAGAGGTGTTTAAACTAAATTCGACAGGTTAAACAAATGTATTATTTTAACAAACTGTGCCATTTAATATTATTCTCGGAAAGAATTACAATATAAATGAACTATCATTTTGTATTGATTTTATAAAATATTTTAAAAATAGTTTACAGTATGAAATTACCTTCAAAACAAGTTATGAAAATTATTATGCAATATGAGAGATAAGAAAAAACTAACCTAGGACGATATGCAATGTTTAAGTGGTATTGTGTTGATCGGATTAGTTGGTTGATACTGTTGATAGAGATCGGTTGTACTGAAACACCATTCAGTTGTAAAATTTCATCTCCAATCTTTAATCCAGCTTGTGCAGCTACCGAACCAGGTAACACAGTGGTCAAAAATGCCCCCTACAATTGAAAAAGCAATTTTCTATGGATACACCTTGTCAATCACTAAGTATTACTTAAAAATAAAGGTATATTATATCAAGCTCAAAATGGGTGTTTAATGTGACAAGTGTGAATATTTAAATCTTAGATTATTAGGTCGATGATGCAGAAAGTATTCCTCGGATAAGCCTTATTAATTGTAACAACGCAGGGCCATTTCAACCACATTTTAATTGTCAATATGCGTAATAATAAATCTCCATTTCAAAGTTATCCATCATTCCATTCGAAAAGAAGCTGCGATGCAGTTGAAAAGAAGATATTCTAATTACTGTTGTAAAACTTTAGTAAGAGAACGCAATTTTTTTAAAATAGGGTTTGTATGACTAGACTGTACCATCACTGCAGATTTCGCAAAGATTTGAAACAAATTGCAAATGTTCACTGACACTGAAGAATTTCAGCACTTTTCACGATAATCGACTTAAGTTTGACAAGTTATTTGGATGAATGACAAACTGAAGCACTTTCATTTAGTGACAGATTGGCTTGGTCACCCTGTAAACAGACCTGATCGAATGTGGATACCAAGCTAACCCACAAAGGAACTTCAGAGTTATCTACAGAACATGTGGGAATCTTGCTAAAAGAGTACAAATTAAACTTTTTCAAACAGCAGAAGCAATGGCAATTCACATTGTTAAATCCTGAACTCTGCATGCAAAAGCAGTTTGTTCGGTCAATAAATCTACAATGGACCTGATTCATCTTAACACCAAATATTGTTTCTTAATAGTTTTGTTCTATCGCTACACCCCCTATTAAATTTCTTCCCCTTATTACCATTGTTGTTAACTCGACTGTTGTTCAATATTTGCTGAATGCTACACAAACCCATCAATTATAATACGCCACTCAAATTCTTTAGTCTTATTTTAGTTTCTACCCGATTAACGCTTTCTACGTTAAGTAACTGGTTGTATAAACCTTACACTTCTAATGACGCATTTTTGGAAATATTCATTTTGTTGCTAAGACAATCTACTGTGTATATATGCGATTGTACAGCTTGAGAATAGTGTTGCCGAAAGGAGTTACTCTTCACTGAACGCCGTTTCTTATATATGACTCAATAGGGTTTTTCAGTTTGCTTGAAGAAAAGTGGCAAATAATGCCTGTCACATGAATTTTGTGTTGTCATGTCATACTTTCACACAGATGAAACAATTATTTTTTCCAACACTCGAAAATGTTTCATGACTGCCGTAAATGAGGAAAAGGCTTTAGTAAATTATATGAATCTAGACGCTGTAGTGGTAAATGATTTCATGTCACATGGTTTATGCGGAATGACACATTTTACAACTGTATGTCACCGAATAGCACTTTGAAGAGAGTTATTTTAGTATGGAAAAAAGAATCAATATATAAAAAGGAACCCTCCCCGAAAAGAGAGAAAATATCTATTATTAATCACTTTCTCAATAAATTCTGTTAATATTATAAACTTGGAAATTCAAACGGGACAGAAAGTCCTGTTTGTTTTTCAAGTGACGCAAAACAACAGACGAAGACCATAAGTCTGGAGATAATTTGTGACGAATTTTCATGACACTGACTGGTAATAAGAAGGATGCACAGATGTAAAGAATTAATGGTGCAAAGAGTTTGGAAATCTTCTGGAGCGTTCGTGGTTGATAAGCGCAGAAACCCTTGCATTCCGAAAATATTGGCAGCTTTTTCTGCTGCGAGAATACCACCCTCTGACTTTTGGAAGCGCTCATTAGTTTACCTTAATCACCACTGTTTTACATATTTCTATAACCAGATTGTGACACTGTTTGTAAGCACATATGTTTATGGAGTGCTCCGATAATCCTTAAACAAATAGCTAAATTATTTATGAAATGCACAACCTTGTTTGATTTATCGGCACCTTGCCAAATATATGAAAAATCTTGTTGCTCCCTTTGATTGCTTCACAGTAGCTTATTTGAGGGGCTTGCTAGTTCATAAATTACAAGAATTCAGGTGAACTTAGAACAAATAGGCTGTATTTAATTGCTTCTGGGTCGATACCCTATGAGACAAATCAGGCATCCATTTCATAAAAGTATGCAGGTACTCTGTGTGCTTATACGCAGATTAATGTATATCTCGACGGTTATTGTCGTTAGAAATTATCGATGAATAGTCAACAGTTAAATGCTTATTATTTTACAAAGAAACAAAGTGGTGGGTGATGCAAATTAGCCAAAAAATGAAAGCACTAATTAGAGCTACCGTGCGTCGGGGGCATAACGGTTAGGACGCTCGCCGACCATGCACATGGTCTGGGTTTCAATCCCCGGCCAACGCACTCCTTTACCTCACTAAGCCAGAAATAACGCTGGTAAAGAGGAAAGGTTAGGCATGCGGCTAGCAGCCCCATCCTGTAAAATAAACACTGCTACAGAAACTTCAAGTCACTAGCTTGAAGCCTTATCTTCCACCGGGAAACGTAAAGGGGAAAAAATGAGGACTGCCAGTCCAGGTGGATGATTTATGTTTTTTTGTGTTATTTGAGCTAGATGATTTACTTGCAAAGTATTATTGTTCTTCCGGACATCTTTAATGTTTTCCTAGTCAAATCACACTGTGACTCACAGTTCATTCTTTGAATTTTTAAAATCTGCTTCTTTAATGAAGTTTGGTCATTTTTACTGTACGGATAACATCTATTGGATATATAACTGCTTATTAACCATTCAGTTTAACTTAATATACTGTAATATAAATATACTACTGTCACGTATATGTTATGAATTTTTTTGTGTACATACTTATGAAAAGAAACACTAGTTGAGGAACCGACTTTCTGCATGATCAATGTACATACACAAGATGCGTTTACGGTTTTCAACTCAAAGAGAAATTATTTTCATAATACATTTAGTAGAAAATACCTTTTCAAATTTTTCTATACGCATTCCAAATCGCTGACCTATATCCGGACGCGTGATGGTCACTTCTCTTACTTCTTGAATAGGTAATCCTGTAGGTAAAATATAAACGGGGCTTTCTGAACTATTCTTGAGAGGCTGACATTCTCTATGGTTTGTATGACTCCCGTTGCATCTATCCAGGAAATGGTTTTGAAGCATACATTTCGAGATAACAATACCTGACAGTTTTCTGATAAAATCATCATCACCACATTGTATAGGATTATTCGGAATGGCATTGGAATGCATAATGCAAGGTGTTAATACATATGAAAATTTCTCCATTCCACAACATTTATCTGTACACTTTTCAGAATGATGGTTTTCAACACATACTTCTGCATTTACAGGAGTATTTGTAATGTAGGAAGATTGGTGCCGCTTTCCTCTATCATCAAGATTTACTGAGGTATCAAATGACTTTGAGTGGGGGAAGGTCATGATTTTTTCGTACTCTGATTCACCGCGGTTATTACGAAGATATTCTTTCTGAAATATAGAATAAAATCTTTAGAAGTAGATTGTACTTAGGTGACATTTGGAAGCAACAATTCACAGTCTTACATATTTATTCGATTTTGTTTATTCATAACTGACTTTAAATATAGCTGAAAATTTTCATGATTCAGGTAAAACTGCATTTCAAATACAGATCTCCTTCAATAAAACAGATCAGTTCTGTTTTATCCATCCACCGCCAGTCAGCTGCGCAAAACCTTGACAATGAAAGTGTGTGGTTTTATTACAAGTTCCAGTGTCGAACTACAATACAGAATAATTATGATATGTAAATAATTAGTGATGTCAAATTATTAAATTGCGGTGAACTGCTGTAATTTTATGCAATAATGCAACAGAAGCGTTGACGCTTTTGTTATTTAGTCATTGAAAAATCATCTGAAATTTATTTTTTCGTCAGCGTGTTTATAGAATACACATTTTATTGGCTATTTCTACCTGAGCAAATATATATTCGAAATTAGGCAATACGAAATAAATTGTCTAAATCATTTACTTTCTTTTAAGTAGCTAAGTTTTGCCAAAACTATCCAACTTATCAAATTAAAAAAATCAATCCTGCTTTATGGCAACTTAGTAATTAAAGATAAAGAAAAAAGACAGATTACAAATTCAAGCGTTCTTAAAACGACATTTTGCACCACACAAGTCCTACCTTATTCATTAAGAGAAAGCACAAGGAGTGTCTAACTTCTGAGCCAGTGAAACTTCATTTGACAGTTAGCCTTTGATTGAATTTGTTTCAAATTACAGCAACTACACAATTGAACTGTCTTAATGATAAGCGTAACAGCATAACGCGGTACCTAATAACCAGCAAGTTTTGATGCAGAACACTACAGAATGAGTTTTACTTTTCTGTTGACAAAAATAGTTTTCATTTGAAAAACCACACACGTTTGTGTTCCTTAGATATAAGATTAATTCATACCAACATTTCAGTATTTAGTAGTAGTGTTGCAGATGCCTAAATGAGCTTAAAGTTCATCGAATTGAATGGGCAGACTGTACAAGTTGACCATAACATTTGTATGTAAACTGAGAAATTTCCATGTTCAGTGAATGACTGAAATTGATGAGGTGTTCGGTATATATATATATATATATAATCTCATTCAAACGGGAATCCTTTACATTCTCATTGCATTCAGGTTGACAATACAAATGTAGGCTAAAGTAAAAGTTCGAAAATCGAGCGATTTAAGTGTAAATGTACAGGGAAATCTAGTCAGGGATGGTGTAATAATTGAGTAGATAGAATAACTATCCTCCTGAATTGTTGGACATACGCTACTTAATAAGCCAAACTTTAACTTGTTCCATAAGGACAAAACTAAGCAGGCAAAGCTTCTATTAGCGGAAGTTCTTCAATATCAAAGTTATTCATAATCATTAAAGTGAATATGAATTCCAGTGGAGTAAATGTCCTATTCAAAAGACTTCTAAATCGACTGCCACCTACAACGTGCCCAATAATACCAACGGTGGAAGCAGAACTACTAGTGGACATCAACCCTCCGACGAAAACAGAAATCCTGAAGGGAATAAAGATGCTAAAAACTGGAAAAGTAGCAGAACCAGACGGAATCCCCGCAAAGGCATTGAAAATGGACCCACAGACATCAGCGAACTTAATGACAACACTACAGGAGAAGGTGTTGAAAGAGAACAAGGTACCTGCGGATTGGAGGAAAGAGATTGAGTCAATGCAAGATTTGGTGCGGCACCAGGCTACTGTCTATCCCAAGCAAAATACTAAGCCGCATCATCCTGAAGAGAATCAAACAAGCCCTCGACCGGTACAGGCTGGATTCAGGAGAAGCAAGTCATGCATCGATCAAATCGCAACACATGAATGAACAGAGCTTGGAATGGCAATCAACTCTCTGCCTTAACTTCATCGACTGTGAAAACCCTTTCGGCAGCGCCGATCCAAAGGAGATCTGTAAACTACTTCACTGTTAAGAGGTGTTGCTCACATTTACACACCTCATCCAACAGCTGTACGGCAATGCGGCACGCCAAGTAATCCACTAAGAGAAACACACGGAATCTTTCAAAGATAAAACGGGAGTAAGACTAGGCTGGCCGGCTGCTTGCGATCTCCAATGTTTTTTCTGATTGCAGTAGACTGGATAATGTGACAGACAGTGGGCCTGGCAGCAAGAAAACAAGCAAAAAATGAACCCACACAAATATCTTGGAGGATCTGGACTTCGCCGATGATATATGTCTGATTCTCCCCAAACTGAAAGATATACAAGCAAAAAGCAACAAGATGGCAGAAAAAACATCAAAGATAGGACTTCAGTTGAACACAGAGAAAACAGAAATGATAAAGATTCCTGGGTAATACCAACAGCAACAACAACAGACAACAATCAGTATAAATGAGAGGGGTCTGGAAGAAGAAAACTCCTTTACCTACATGGGAAGCATCGTTTCAACTACAGGTGGAACTGACAAGGATATCAGAGCGAAGATCGGGAAAGCGAGGCAAGCTTTCAATACTCCTAAGTGTTTGAGGAGATCAGTAGCAATTATCATGAAAAATAAGATCTGCATTTTCAATTCCAATGCGAGGTAAGTGCTACTATACGGATCAGAGATATAGAGAGTCAAGAAGGGCACCGGCAGTTGTCTTTGTTCAGTACTCAAGATCGGATGGCAACAGGGATCTCTGGGAGCAAACCAACCAGGAACCGACTGTGCACCAGATATGCCTTAAGAAATGGAGGTGGATTGGCCATACTATGAGAAAACAAATCATCAAGTTAAATCACAAGCCAAGAAATCGCTACAGTGCGACTCTGATGGAAAGCGGCGAGTTGGTCCTCAGTGTGAGGGTAACATGGAGGAGGTCATGCAAAGAGGAGATGAAAGCATATGGGCAGACCTGTAGCCGGGTGAAAACGTTGGCAGAGGATCGAACACAATGGAGTCGTGTGGCCAAAGCTTTTTGTTACTGTAGGAATTAAAGAAAACAATAATAATAACTGTTCTATTCACCTTAGCTTTACTTGTTGTTTTTTATGTAACCTATTTTCTCTCCTTTTCACGTTTGAAGCCACTTTTCTTGTTAATGTATCACGTTAACTTTCGATTTTAATTATGGCATTTGTAGAAGGATGAACAGGTATTTTGTTAAAGTGCGATTAATAACATTCTTATTCATTTATAAAAATTTAAATAACATGCTTCACAAGTTCAAGATTAATATTAAGTCTTGTTTGTAATAGAGCTGTTCACCTCATATTAACCTATGTAACCGATAAAGTGAAGTGCCAGTCGAGTTTTTGTCGATGAGATTTGAAGAGTACTGACAAACCCTATTACTCAGCACTACTACACATTAAACTGCGGTAAGATCTGGAGCCATATTTAAGCGTGTATTGTTGAGGAAAGATTCCTGACCTTGCGTCTGTGCTTGTTGAAGTTTATTAACAAGGCGAATCTAAATTTTTTTGGGGCTCCTTATGTCAAACTCTTTGGTTCTATCCTGCGTGGACGTAACTCTGGATCGCGGAAGCAAAATTAATTTCACTGATGCAACTTGCTAGCTGATATCAGAAAAAAAATCATCTAGAACTAGTTGATCTTCATGCAGATTGTCCATAATTACTTGAGACAAAAATAGGCTAAAATCAAACCATAGGATTAGACAGAGTCTCTGAATTTTCGGTGTATTAAGGTTATGCTGTTAAGTACCCAGATGTGATTTGGTATCTAAAACTTCAGCTTTATTAGGTTGAACCTATAACATCCTATATTAAGGTATATTCAATGGATCGGTGTAGATATCAACTACCTGATTCGTGGTACTTTTTGTCTGTTTTGTTAATGCACTATGTGATAATTCGTCCTTCTTTAATTATTTTATCATTTCTTTTTATTGCAATGCATCTTGCACAAATCTAATTCATTTTTGCAATGGTATTTAGCCTGTTTATGAAAGATGACATTCAAATTGTGGTTTTTTTTAATGCGAATAAAAGAGTCGATAAGCAAGTTTGTGCTGGATCTCCAGCCACAGTTAATCTTGTGGTGAATGATAACAACAAAAACGAATGAGAAGGAGTGAGCTCTATTGTTCATAAACAGTAGTATTTTCAATTAAAAGAATTGAATTTTTGCGTGACTAGCAAATAAAAAAATTTAACGAAACTTTGTTTCAAGTTTTACTTACTTTTTTGTCAGTTCCTGGTATATTTGTCTGTGTACAGGTTATACCATGTGTTTTATTACTGCGTATGTAGTAATCAGAACCGCGTAATGAGCTGGAAGTACACTGTAGATTTCCAACTGATTTACTTTGACTCATCCCTCGACCATTATTTATTTTACGCTCAAAAACATTCCAAACTCGTCTGGCTTTCATTTTCAAATTATATATTGGTGGGCTTTGCAGTTTGTTTGTCAGATTGCTGCAACTATAAATGTATGCATTCGGTTTTGTTTGTCTGTTGTCATCAAAACGATCTTGAAATATCTGCGTCTGATCATTGCCAACATACTCCAGCCTTAAATTATCCTTAAACATTTTACTTTTGCTTAAATAACGTTTATGATTTGTACCTAACAGTGGGGCTCTTGGAGTTGTCGTTGGTGATAACTGTCGAGACGAAGATGAGGATGATTGTGATGATGACGGTGGGAATGAAGTATTCCTCTGAAAGGCATTCTTATTAGATGCATGACTACTATCTGGCGTATATGAACGAAAATGTCTTAGTTGTATATCATCACCACAATTGCTGCGTGGATTACGCGCGCGTAAGAAATAATTTCTGCTGGAATTCAGTTTTCTTTCTGATGGTCCTTTATTTGGTTGTTGTTTAGCAAACTGAGCAACCGTTTCATTATGTAGATATTCTTTCGTTTCATCTGGGATAACTTCATATTTGGTTGAAGTTGGTTTTGAAATCGACTTTTCTTGTAAGTTATTGTTAATAAATGCATAAGTTGTTTCAGTCAGTAGTGTCATTTTCGTATGCAAATTCAGCCTTATCCTTTGACAAGTTGCGTTTTACAATATCTAGGACAGAATATTTGAAACAAGACAATTATCACACTAATTAATGCAAATTCATCAGAGTATTCTTTAAATGCAAACCGCATTCTTCACCTGAGATCATTCACATCCTTTGGGTGTCATTTAAACAAACTTTTATTCCAAAGGTTTTGCATCTGACGAAACCTTCATCTCACTGATTGCTTGTTCCAACATTGCAGAATGCCGAAAGTTTGTCCGTTATTATTCTCTGTCTATAAGGACTGTTAATGGACAGCTTTTGTTTCGATAATTTGATAGTTTTCTGCATGTTTTGTGACTAAATACGATATACTAATAGCTTATTTGTTTTACTTTGGCCAGGAAAATTACTTGGTTTATTATATTGTGTCTTTATGTGGGGCATCCATAGAACATTTATCTGAGACCCTTTCTGAAAAACAAAAGTATATTGAGTACAATACATGCCAGTAATGAATCTCGATCGGATCTTAGAGCTTATTTACATCAAAAAAATATGATGTCTATGGTAGCAACTTGTTTTTAGAAAGACACAGTTTGACTTATGTAGGTTAACTTCTTTGTTAATAAGCCTAGACGAAATAGATAGTAAGGAAAATGGAGAGATATGTTTCTGTAGTGAATAACTTCGATTGGTAGTAGTCATCTTGTCGTTGGCTTTCAGTTTCAAACAGCACAGTAGGATAAATGATTATTAATGTAGTGCAGCTGCCATTTCTTCAGGCATCCGATGTACAGATTATAAATGTGTGAAATTTTAACATGCTAAAAGGTGGTTCGGTTTCAATATATATTTCATTCTTTGTGGTTAGGAAATTCGCTTTGTTCAAAGAGGAACATAAAATAACTGGAAACGTTCTTTTAAAGTAGCAGTTTGAAAAGCCTCTGATACACATACTTCATCTAGCATTTATCATTTTTGTTTCAAACCTATGATTATTTGATTTAAAGGGCCATGTATTCCAGTTTTCAGGTGTTGGAAAATTAGGTACTAACCACTAATCCAATGCCTGCTAGTAGTTGACTTTAGAATGAAGTTGCTACCCAGTAGCTCCCTAACTGATGACCGTACTTGAAACCCTTCTAATCTGTCAAATAAAATACCCCATGTCATAAATGTATGTATATGTATATATATATGTACACATGTACTAGGTAGCTTATACGGATACATGCTATCAAAATGTAAATCGCAAAAGGCCATCATGGTTAAAACCCAGTATTAAATCAAGGTCACTGTTATTCTACGGCCAATAATAAGCTTTCAGGTTAGAGTGGGTAAGGAATTTAATACAATTTCATGATAATTCGGGTCATTTGGCTGCTAATTAGATATTCTTGTACACTTTTTGTTTTGTGTTGAAATCTCCTTTTACCCGATTGAGTGTATCAGCCTCCATTTTTGACGAAAAGTGTAATCAAAATCAAAATCAATCTGATTTTTTATTTTAAGCTTATACACTTAAATAAATTTCAACATAAATTAATAGTGAGGTTTCACTTCGAACTGTGTTCTTGACAAATGATGAACTTTAGTCTATATATTACCAGTTACAGCATTTCATCATGAACTAAAATTGGTTAGATAAGCACTGGAAAACCTGAGGGTACTGGACAGCTGTTTCACCCTGGTTCCGGACTCTTCAACAGTGTGCACCCACTGGGGTTTGAACACCGGGATTTTCCGATTTTGAGCGGGCTCGCAAGTGTCCAGGCCCTTAGGAACCAACCCAAATTTGAGTGAACTGCAGCTTCTTCCGATTCGTGACATTATCTGGCAATTACGCTAAATATTTATCATGAATTGGCAGAAGTTGGAATTGACGTACCTTTCTGTTGGGTCCCGGTGGCTTGAAGGTCTGCGAGCTCGCCTCTTAACCGGAAAGTCTTCTGTTCGAACCCCAGTGATACGTACTGCTGAAGAGTTCCAAACTAAGACGAAACAGCTATCCATTACTCCGAGATTTTCCAATGGTCCTCTAACCAATGTCAGTTCATGATGAAATCTTATAACCAATCAATCAACATTACCGGTTAGCCTAAGTATGTAGCTGAAATTTCGGTGGTCCAAAAGGACTCACCAAAACAAATTTAACTAAACACACCTATGATAGGCTTGACTCGAGGCTAGCAAAGGAGGCGTTCAGTGTTTAGATAGCTTTTATTTTGCTTGTTAGCCTTACGACTTCACATGAGTGCTTTTCAGGTATTCATATCTATCAGTAGTGTAAGTTATCTTGCTACTTGTTCAGATGAACAAAACTTTTAGCGAAATATTACATGGGCTGAAATAACTCTTCATAAATCTCTTTGTATGGAAAGTGAAGACTACTTTTGTAAGTGCGCTAAAACGGTTTTTTATTCGAAATTATGTGTTTGCTCTATTGCTATCAGGCTAATGCAAATTAACCCAAAAACTATCGGAATTAAATAATCTGAGGCCATTATGTGGGGTCAGTTTTTAAAATTTTTAGTTTAAGTGCTTCCCATGTTGATGAAAAATCCTCTGTTACAGCTATGCGAATCAGTAGGTCACCTGGACAAATAGTATTTTGTGGTAAGTGCACTGATAATTTCATTAGTAATAGTAAGTGTTTTATATTTAGATATCAAAGTGATTTTAATGGACCAATTTTCTTAACGTCATTTTAATACCCCTTTATTATAATTGATTTTGAAACTATTCCTAGATGGATTTTTACCTCCAGGATTCAATAACTTTGGTATCTCCAAACAGATGGGTACAAATATAATAGGAGTTCTATGCAGTTGCATACATGAATCCATAAGTCAAACTGCCTGAATATATGCCTCACAAAAACTGCATTGTCAATAAAGTTTTGCTCTGTAAATGTAAACAGAGCTGAACTACTACCTCTTAACATTCATATTTCTGATTGTAGAAGGTAAGAGAAGTTAGTTTTACAGATTGAACGCAAATGACCGTTAGCTTTTTTAAGTGTTCCCAATAAATATTTGTGTTTGTTGTCCACATCAAACTGTTTCAGTCAAACTTAGTTAAACAAATCTGGAAAGAAATATTGTGGCTAGATCCATTGATGGATAATCAGTTAAAGGCTTAAATTTGCGGGACACTATAAATTATCATCCGATCCAAACGCAAAAGTGAACTCATCGAGGAAGACATTGCGAAGTGGTCGCGCTATGTCGTGAACTGGCAGAAGTTAGAATTCAAGAACCATTGGATTGAGTCCCAGTGGCTCAGTGGTCTACGAGCTCGCTAGCCTTGTAACCAGAAGGTCCTGGGTTTGAATCCCGGTGGGTGCGTACTGCTGAAGGGTTCCAAACTAGGAAAAACAGCTGTCCAGTACTCCCAGGTTTTCCAGTGGTTCTCTAACTGATATCAGCTCATGGTGAAATCCCCCCATACAATCAAGCAAAATCCCTACAAAACCAATACTTGAATAGTGAATTCAACCTTAGTTTCATGTAACTATATATCTGAGGTGTGAAACTAGCTACCCCTTCTATAAAAGCCAATTATGAGTGCTAAAGTTTCAAGGCTTCAAACATAGAGGTTTATGTTCCACTCGGAAAACAAAGCAATGAAGAAATCTGTCTTTTTCATAGTTGTTTATACACAGTGATACATTTCGAATTTTAACAATATTTCAAACACATTTGCTGAGTTTTCATTAGAGACGAGACTGTCTCATGACTTGACTGCAAACATGCGTGCATTCACACCTTCCCTAAGTTGTATGGAGTATATTTCTTTACATTTTCTTAGCCAATCATGAAGTGAGTAAAGTTATCACTTTAAGGGTTTTCTTTTTTACCCATTGACATTGTAACATTTTACATATCTGAAACTGATTAGCAAAACCTGATAAAATATAATGTCGTTTATAATTAGGATCCCGTTTCACTGTAAAATGTAATCTGAAGTACTCACCAAAGAATTTTGAACGTCTTTAGCGTCTTTCAGAATCTACCGGTAAATTTTACAATGTATCCGCTGACTGGGTATGAAATCACTGATGTGAGCCGTATATCACTGTTAGAAATGATGAAACATGAATAAGGAGTGGACTTCTTCTTTTACAGACTTACTTTCTATTCACGTCTCAGACCTTAGTCATTCATTACTTTCTCCAAAAGCATTGTTAGTAAATTAGTTCATTCGTCAGTGACCTGCAAGGCTGATATTTTCACACCAAGTATTCCTAAGACAACACACGGAGAAATTTTCATAATGACAGACTCCAGTCAACTGTAAACTGCCTGGTCCCCATGAATAATCTTATGAATGTCGAAAGGCATGTCGTTGCCTTTTCCTTAAATATGATTTTCACGCAGCTCATGTTTAACGAGTCCCTATATCACAAGATTTATTTTTAGTAGTAATTTTAACAAAACTGAACTGATCTCTGAATATATCTATGCCTACATGTATATATACTTAGAGATATTTAGTAAAATTTGATAAAATGAGTGGAAATTGTTCATTACTCAGCTATCTAAATTTTTGGATGGAAGGCGATGATTGTTTCTATAATTGTTTATTGCTTAGCGAATGAATATTTCAAAATGATAAAACTGCTGCATACACGCCAACAAAATTTATACATATACCTCATATTTGTTATAAAATTTTCACTTATGCTATGTTAATGTTTATTCCATGCAATGCATAATTTATATCATAATATCATGTGTATGTTTTATGAAGACATATAGGTGGAATGAAATAACATTCAACAACCATAAGCAAACGTTTCCAGTAAGAGCATTATTAAAGAACGTTTTGGTCTACAGCTCAAGGTATGTCACGGTGTAAATGAAAGAAATGTATTTGTATAGTATTAATTCTAAAGTTGATAAGAATTGCGGTCTTCTGATTAATTTATGAATCCTTCAAAAATTCTATCCAGTCTTTGGTTTAAATGTTTGCTAAAAGTCATATCGAAAAATTTTTGGAAATATCAATAATGAATTTTCATTGTAGCAGCCTGTTAAATATTACTGAGATACCTAGTGACTGAAAAGGTGGCTTCGTTAAATGTAATTAATGAATTACTGTGATTCCAGACTTTAGATAATTCAAATGATAAAATACACACTAAATATGGCTGTGTAACATTTCAGGGTTAAAAGATATAGGGATCTGAAGTTAGAACAGTTTCTTCTATTTTTTTTCATTGGGTCCTAATTTTAATACTTCAGATAGGCTACTTTATGACAGTCCCAAACAGCTTTCCATTACTCCATGCTTTTCCAATGGTTTTCTAACTGATGTCAGCTCATGATGATATCCTGTAACTAATAAATCAAATCCTTGCAAACCAACACTTGAATATCAATGAGATATTCACTGGCAACTGACCCCTATTCAGGTAGGCAGTTACCTGGTGTTCTAGAGGGAATTCGTGACCAGTAGGGTGCAGCAGA